TTCTCGTGAGACAGAGCCTCTCATTACCAAAATGACAGTGCCACTAAGAATCTGCATTTCACAGTCATTCAGTGACCAGTTCGATAGGGCAGTAAATAATTACACACCATCACTGCCAAAAAGTAATTAAATAGGATATTATAATAAGTCATTGTGTATACACTTTGCATTACTCAGTCACCTGGATGATCCTTGCAGAGGGGTACTCATGAAGTGAGCAGCAGGGAGGTGTATATATGCAGTCCCAAGTGGCTGCACAATCTTCAAAGCCATAAAACATTATGTTGAGACAAACTCTGAAGGTGTTTCTCAGCCCTTATTTAGGGCAAGACTGTCACAAGTACAGGTAAGAGATAGCACAATGTGGCTCACCACTCTTGGATATATTAGATAAAAGTATTCTGCTGAAATTGATTTTATATTCATTGTCTTGCTGAGAATAACTTTTAGATCCTTAGAAAGGATAGGCTCATTTTGTAGGACTGGCTTCACAGATTGTCTAGACTCATAGTACCAGTATGTTGCTTCAACCTCTGATGTGACATAGAATAGTCACTGTTTATGAAGCTAGGGTCTTTTAAATGTAAGCCAAGCTTGCTGCAGAGTCCTTAGCTCCAAAGTCTTCCAGGGCTGTACATTTTAAGCCAGAATATAGCATTTTGAATGCTTCTGGGCATTAGTGCTCAGAAATTTCGGCATAATTTCTTTATGCTGCTTAAAGAGATGTGCCCAGTTCTGACCCTAAACTACCATCATTAATAATTCAAACAATTGTGACATAAATCACAATTATACCTGAGAGGATGAGGCTCAGTGAACCAAATAAAAGTGGGTCCTATGTAAACTACTGGGTATTGGAAAGAAACTCACCCGGGCTAGTTCTGAAACACTCTCCATGATCTATTCCCCTCCACCCTTTTTCTCTTTGCTACCGCACACATGCAAAGACATACTAGATTTAGTCCAAGAGGAAAAGAGGCATTTTAGTGGCATTCCCTCTTTGCAGAGGCTGTCAAGAAGTTTTTCTTTTGTTGTTCTGGATGCAGACTGCCTGGGGTGGCTGCATGCTGCCTCATGAGACCATCCTAACCCACTTTGTTGTAGCTAGAAGCCCTCAGTAGTTATCAACTTCAGACCAATGTGACCAGTTGAACTAGAACTGAGAACTTCTGCATTCCTATACCAAATATCCCTGAATTAACCATACAGCTGCTCTACAATGGATTTTTAAGAAGTTATTTCTTGTGTGATATTATGAGCTTCTGTACATACCAACATAGCTTCCCTTTAATGGCTGACAAAATTACACAGCAATATCCTTAGCAAAACAGTTGCCAGTTGTTTCAAGTACATATTCAGAGTGAAAATGAGTCTAAAGATCCTAAATCCTTCCTTTAGTTAATCAACAAAATTATGCAACCAAATTTTTAATCCTCAGTTTGAATATGAACGAAAATTCCTGAAATACTTGTGTCACCTTATCCAATGTAAAGACCTAGCTCCAGGAAAACTGATCCATCTTGAAAGCAAATAGAAAATAAGGGCTACGCGCATCTTCACGTGTGCTATACTAGTCTAAGTAAAAAGATGACTAACATCACCCTCGATTCAACTTTCCACAGCAATTAGCTGAAGTATCTCAATTTATCTTTCCCTGACAGTTTATGATTTTAAGGAAATCTGAGATGTTTGGGTTGTTGGGTTTTTTTCCTTTTAATGGACATTTTAGCACCATCTGCTGGTGTTAAAACTTGCTCTGGAAACTAAACACCAGCCACCTCCTTTATTTTTACTTCCTTAAGGCCTACTTCTGGCTCTTATTAGGAAAGGTTAATTGCTTCTTTTCTCTTACAGATCCCAGGGTTGGATAAGTAATTTATCTGAATGAATCATGCATCCAAATGGGAGTATACCTTCTGCAGACCATGTATCAGTCGCGATACACTATTAGAGAAAACAAGTCATCTACAGCTACATCCAAGAGTAGATATATTTGTTTCTTACATTGTAAAAACAACAGAAAAACCCACCTCATTCCTGAAGGGGTAATAGGAAAGTTTTCCCCTGATTTAATGTGAGTTGATAGTGGTATTTAGACTAAAGAACTATGCTGTGATATTGGAGATTTAATGTGGCATGCACAGTCAAAACCTGACCTGTTAAAATTACTTCTGATTGTATCCAGTTAGATAATTATATGAATGATCCCATCTAATTCATTCAGTTGCTTTTTGATTTCATGAGATTGCTTCTGGCTCAGCACCATTTCTTTCCTGTTTCAGAACCTTCTGTGGCTTACCTGAAAGCACTTTAGGAAATGGTTTCACTGGGTCTCAGCTGCCTTTCTACAGCACCTGAATACATGAAACATCTCCCACATTCAGTAGAAGTTGCTCTTTGCCTTGGTTAAGCCAAGCTCACAGAATTCCTCTCTACATGACTTGCCAAATGTGAGGATTTGACTGACAACATCATAGAGCACTAAGAAACCTGCCACAGATTTCATGGACACCCTAGAGGGAAGAGTTAATATCAACCCATTTGAGTTCAGCTAGGTCTAGCAAGTAAATGTAGCAGGGGAATTTCAAGTTGTTCTGTTCTGGCTGCTCTTTATATCAATGTCTCCTGTCATATGAAAAACTGAGAACGGGCCTGGGGATCATTTTTTTTTCAGTCTTCTCTTTCAATACACAGCATTAATCTTTGTAGCTCATACTTCAGTCTCTGTTCCACCTTGACAATCTCCCACCCACTATCATCACAGCCCTGTCTACATCTTTTATGTACACCTTCCTCTAATGCCAATGGTTCACAGGTGAAATTCAATTGTCTGAACCTTAAATCACAGAATCACAGAATCCCAAGGGTTGGAAAGGACCTCAAAAGATCATCTAGTCCAACCCCCCTGCAAGAGCAGGGTAACCTAGAGTACATCACACAGGAACTTGTCTAGGCGGGCCTTGAATATCCTCAACGTAGGAGACCCCACAACCCCCCTGGGCAACCTGTTCCAGTGCTCTGGAATGTAGAAAAGCAAATTCTGGATGTAGAAAAGCAAATTCTCAAAAAAAAACACATTCTAGATTGCTGCAGCAGACAGGATGAAATGTTGGTTTAACAGCATGGGCCATCACAATCTTATGGGCTACCAACAGGGCTGGGAAATGAGTTCGTGATACTGCAGCAAGCCTCTGTCCATCCCTTTACTATTAGTATCAGTACGTATCAGTAGGCTCCAGTAAAAGAGTACCCTGCCACGGTCAACTTAGGCAGCAGTTGCCCCAAGGAAGTGAAATAGCCAGAGACAATGAATTATCTTTTGCTTTCCTTCCAGCCATAGAGGTAAGTTGAAGCAAAGCCTAAATCCTGCTTGCCCATAAATTCTCTATCCTAGAGAGTGGTGACTGAAGACTTTTCAGATAGATGCTCTCAGGTAAGTTTTCAAAGTTGTGCTCAGAAGGGTCAAGTCAAAAACTAAATCCCGTTATTTGTTAGAAAGATTTGTGTGTACACCTCCCACATTCACTGCTTTGAAATGGACCCCTTAATGTCTGGAGGGGACACAAAGCCTATGGCTCTTCTAAGGTTTCAGAAGGAGGAAGAAAGGCCATGACCTTTAATAAAGATTATTCTAGAGAAATAGGACTGCTTGCCTTTGCCTAATCTTTTACAAAATAAGCTTGACAAAAAGTGCAATGAGGTAATCTAAACCAATTCCTTAAGAAAGAGGTGTAAAGAATCAAGGAGGACCTTGAACACATTATATGCATTGACGGGAAAACTATGACTGAGAAGTTTAGGCCAGAGCTGGTTCCACTGGCAGGACCCAGCCTCTCTGCATTGCAAAAGAAAGAGATATATTTAGTGTAATTAGCCCAATTATGGCTGCCATAAGTGGTGAATGTCAATCCAAACTCATTCTGAATTGCTTCTTTCTATGTGAATATCATTCATATCTAATTTCCATCAATATCAATGAGATTCAGGAAGAGGTTTATCAAGATGAGATGAGCTGGGTGGGGATGGGTGAGAAAACTCTTTGCTGTTTCAGCAAAACAGAAACCGTGGAAGCAAATTAATTTGGGCAAATTTCCCATTAAAACAAAGCCAAAACGTTTTTAAACTATCCAAATGTCCTTTCCAAAATATTTTGCACAAATGAGTTCCTTTGAATTGCAATCTACTTCTGCTTTTCAAATTCAAATGGATGTATATTCAAATGGAAGGTGAAAGTTGAAATTAAAGCTTTCCAAATCTAATGAAACTAATTGCCCTGATCTCACAGATAGCATTAGTGACAGGAAGCCACGCTGTGTACAGGGAATTCTGTGCACGGGGAATGCAGACAGCAGGGACCTCCTGAGCTCCACTGCACTTTCTTCCAGTGGCTGCAGGTACCTGGGAAGTGAGAGTGCAATACACTGCTAGAGACGTCACAAAAAGTCATGGGAAGTTTTGTGAGACTGATGACAACTACATTAAAAGACTGCCAAGTGCATTCAGAAAACTGGACTGGCTTTCAGTAGAAGTAAGACAAGTGTGGTCTCAGTACATTTTCCTACTAACATAACTTACCACAGTTTTTTAAATATCTGATTTTAGCTTCTGTATGTAAGAAAGTGGGTAACTGAAATAAATACAGAATTCCCAGTTATTCATCTAGGTTTGTGATTCTGCATTTCGGGTATCTTGAGACAGGATAGGACATTGTACAATACATGGTACAAGAGCTATAACAGATTATTCAACTCGTTTCAGTACAAACTGCCTGACTAGTCCATTATAGAACATGTTGTGCATTTCAGAAGTAACATTTTACTTACATTTAAAAAAACAGATACTAGATGAAACTAAAACAAAAACTTATTTTATGTGTGTTTCTCGTTACTTGTCTCATCCCACAGGCAGAAGTAAGAAATGTCAGAATAATGAATAAATGTGCACTGAAAATCCCAAAACATCCCTCATCCCTCTATCTCACAGAGAGGAGCAAAACTTACCATTTGGGTTGTCAGGGGTCTTGAAGCAGTTCCATGTTAGCCTACATCCTTTCAGTGTTTGGTTTCAGGTGTGGTCTCTTTGTGAAAAAGTAGTGCCATATTTGCACATCCTCAGGTTCATTCATGCTTGGAAAAGAAGAAATCATTTGTTCCCATTAATAAATACTTTAATTTAGAACTTCTGGCTTAATTACAATTTTTTTTCTACTCCAGGAAGTGCAAACTTGCAAGGTGTTAGGATTTTCACAAGCCATACAAAAGAACTTCAAACTGCAGTAAAGACTGTTTCTAAGTCTGATGAGTGCTGCCCCATCCATGGCTTCTCCTGCTCAATCTCCTGGGACTCTGTGCTAGCTCAGTCTCCCTATGCTCACATCAGGCTACGCAATGTACTCACAAGAAATAGCAAAATGTTTTAGGGGGTTGAAGCATCTAGTTTTCAATGGGTCTTGCCAAATATGGGTTTCACTGGGTGAACAGGGATAGTGTAGGACCAATTACCTAATACAAATGTGCCATTTTGTGGTTATTCACTTTCCTATTGTTAGGCATAAGCAAATAATTACCCAACTTCACCTCAAACCTAACTGGGACACTCATCTTCCAAGGGTATGTTTGCTGCTACTGGAAGAATACATATAGCCTCCTGTTCAACTCCGATATGATAAACCGTATGCTTCCTCTTGGAACTAATTCAGCTTCCACTGGAGGCAACACAAAAAAGACCATTAATAAATTATGAAAGCCTTTAACACATAACAAGTGTTGCCCTGGAACTTTTAATAGTGCACTTCCTATCCAGCACTACCGTTCAGATAACTTCTGTTCCTCCAACCTCACGCAACAAAACAAAGAGCTCACGGAGGTTTTAGTTAGTTAGACGGACAGGTATTTTGACTGAGATAACATCCAAATGTCCCATTCACAGCTGGAGGTCTGTGTTCTTTACAGGAAAATCCTGAGTTTGGTCCACCACAGTAGTTACCATGGTAGCTGTATTCCTAGGTTACTGTGCCTGTGTAGAAAGTGCTACATGAGAGCAATACATTGCCATTCTGGTTCAGAACTTACAGGCAAAGTGAGCTGGTGTATGTTAACAGCTAATATTAGCATTTCAGATCAGTAACACTGATCTGACTATGACAAAATTGAATAGCAACAAACCCCTTCTTCCAAGCATGTTCCTTAACATAAAAGTATTTCTTCAGTAGCATTGAAATAAAAATGCAGTCACAAAACTTAAAACTGGATTTCAAACTCTTTTAAGTTCATGGAGAACATATAAAGATGGCATTTCTGCTTCCAAAAAAAAGAACCCTCTGACTGTGATCAGAATAAAAAATGCAAAGCAAAGCCCAAGTATTAGGTATATACAGAAATAAGGAACACTAGCACACTGCAGTGAAGCCATGTTTAAGGTGACGATGAATTCAGCAGCAGCAAAATATTACTTTCATAAGAGTTTTTATTAATACAATATAACCTGATAGCTGAAAAAGAGGGATCCCTGCCCCCCACTCATCATTCAGGTGAAAAAAGATTAAAATCCTGAGCAGAAATCCCTTCAACCCATCAGGAAAAGGTGCAGTCTTGGTAGAGTGCAATGAAATTAAAAAAGATGTCATGTAGTCGTGTCAGCCACATCTGTGACCCATATGGTGCATGTAACAAGAGCATATGTCTATACCTAAAGAGAACATTATATGCTGTATAAGGCTACGGCAAATGTAAAAGTGAAGTAGAACACCTTCACATTACCAACACAGTTTGTTATTGGTGTCACATCAAAGAAAGAGTCTCGAGGAATTATTGGCCTCTGATGTCATTTAATTATGATTAAGTGAACTAAGAACTAATGTAAATGGTATTTTATACCCCAGTGAATTAAAGTATGAGATCTAGTCAAGGTGAATAAGATTTACAGCCAAAACTCATACAACCTTACAGTAATGACACTTTTATTACTAACTGAGACATTTCAGTTCTTGAAATAATTAAAAGTACACAAGCAAATTTTACTCTTCGGGTACTTATAATAAACCATGGACAGAGAAGAGAATAGGTTGCTTCAAGTGATTTATGTATTTTTCCTTTTATTATATAAGGGACACAGATAATGCAGGGCAAATACAACCTTCAGTTTACTATGAAAAAGAAAAGTAAGCATAGGAGGATACCCACAAATCTCTTTCATTTTGACTAAATCTGACCCAGATTAAGGTCTCAAATCTCATCTTTGGCTAAACCCAAATAGCTGTCTGCTAAAGAACACATTTGCTACGTTCAGCCCCCAAGTGTAATACGAGCAAATAAAATCAGCCAACTCACTTTAAAGACACTAAGGGTCTTCTCACAGATTTTTAACTCAAAGGAAAACTATTCCCAGGTATTTGTCTTCAAATAGAATGAAGAGTGTCCAAGAAGAAATGCATAATGTATCAATGAATAGTTATATTTCACAGCTTTTCCAGCTGGAAGTAAACTCATTTTCCAGTGACAACTGTTAATCCACTCTCTTCTAGAGTCACTGTTTGAAAGGCTCCAGGTAAAGAGCAGAAACTTGGCTGACAGAAGAAAGTGCCAGATGGCTGCTGGGATGGGAAAAAAAATGAAGAGAAGAAAACAGTGAAATGTGAGTTGTAGAAATAAGGATTGAATCACAATATAAAATGTAAGTAGAGAACCAGAGCCTTCAAAATTTAACAGGAGCCATGTTAGCAACATAGCATCTACCCAAGTGGTAAACCTGATGGCCTCAGGAGGCCCTTAAAATGCAACACAGCATTAGCAAACTGCATAAATTATATGTCTAAAGAGTGCTCTTTGAGCAGTCACTTTTGGCTGATATGGCCATACACATTTGCACAAACCTATCTCCTCATGCCTAAGATGTGTAAACCTGAATACTCAGGCCATACCAGCACGTGTCTCTTACACATAAAACTGTGCACTTTTGCAGTCTTTTAGAAAAACTTTAAAATTCCTACTAATCTATTTGGGAGTCAAAGGGATCAAAATTTCATATGCTTAAAAAGCACTAATATAAATATCCATGATGTGCTACCAGACATTATCTTTAGTATAGGATAGTGTGGAAGAATAGGAATTTTGATGCCAAAATTTAGCTTTAAAGATGATAAAACAGGAGACTTGGGAACACAGATGAGACAGTCTGGGTTACAAAACACATATTCTTGATCTATTGGTCACCTCCTAGATCTAGACACTAAAGTTGCTAACACTTTTATTGTCATTGGTTTTTAAATGTCTTATTTTAGCTTGCCTTCAGCAACACTGCCCTAAAGCCACTAGTACTGCATTTACATTCACATGTACCCAGATTTAGATCAACTTTTGCATATTTATAGTGCACCCCAGTTGGGGACAAGCATGGTGATTGTATGATACAATCCACTTGAAGAACAGGGCCACCACTGTTAGTTGTGCTGGGTGGGAGTAGCTCAGTTAACCACTTCATATCCATCCTGAAAAATCATGGTGTTGGGGAGAAATAGTGAGGCTTACAGCTGATGCTGTTTATGAAATGAAGAGTGCTGCATGTCACAGAGCAAGCTCAGTAACAAAGGGTTGTTCTCACACACACAGACCCATCACACCCACTCTTAGGCACACTATTCTGCCACCTCTTTGTAGACAGAGTGCTGTAAAAGAGCCTTCCAGAATATCCCCATTTTCCCCTGCCTTTCTTCATTTGCCTTTCCTTTCATTAGATGATCCACATCCCGACTGCTATGAGAGACTTCATTAAAAAATTCCAGTTGAACTGAACTAGCTGATTCCTCCTGCCAACGAAATTGCTTTTGCTAAGAAGCCTGTGTAAAAGACCAGCACCTGGAGACATGAGATTGCTCAAGGGATTGGTAACAGGCTACGGAATATTTAATCTCTAGGGTATTGGCTTAAATCCAGAGTCAGGACCAAACTTGAAGCATCAGTCTCTTAGGCAGGCTGCCACACGACACCTTTAAAAATTACACTCCTCCACTCAGGAGAGCCTTTACCAACCTTGTGTTGAGAAACTTTCTCCTCTCCCCAGTCTGAACCTTACAGCTGAGGCCACTGCAAGTTGGAAGGTTATAATTTAGAAACGTGCAAAACATTATGCCAACACGAACTAAAAGTTTTAGTGCAACTGCATGAGCAAGCCCATGAATGAGATTTAGTGGTCTGTCAGAGGGCTGGCGTGTACACTCATGATTTTGCTGTTGCTACATGCTGTAACACAAGATGACAGAACTACTCTGTGCCGAGAGCATAAAAATGACATGTATTTATGCCAACAATCTTCTATTTCTTCCATACTGAATCTTTATGGATCAAAAATCCAACTAAAAATTCAGAATAATTAATAAACATATGAAGAAAATTTTTCATGGAAATTAAAAGGTAGAGAGGGTAGAAAACATCAAAACTAAAAACCACTTAAAGCCAAAGAATACAATGGGAATTGAGTCTGTTTTAAACAAAAGACATTCCCCTGCACCTTTTCCCATACACAGCAGCAGCAGCAGCTGTCTGCTCCTTCTCTGTGATGGTGTTGGAAAGAAAATTCCTTATGCCACTCCCTTCCCTCCTTCTGTGTTATCATTGTCCACAACAGATTTCTTCACACCCTTCATTAAGCCTGACCCTCTTGATTGCTGAGCAAAGACAAAATCATTTCCATTTGATGTTTTGTATCACTGTTCCTCTCAATGAAAATGCAGTAACTCCCTCTATTAGTGACTCCCAACTTAGCAGCTCTGTGGCTGTACAGTATCAGTGAGAGCGCAGCTGGAGAAATAAAACCCATGTAAATAGCTGAAAAGATAGGTAAAAGTCTGGGCAGTGATCCAAAAACACTAAAGTACAGACTCCCAACATCTGGTTCAGGGTGGATTCCAAGAAAGACAGAAAGACAGAAAAAGAAAGACAGAAAGAAAGGATTGATTTCTCAGTGTATATTTTTTACATAAGGTTTTCATTTGTTTTTTTAATTCATTAAAACTTTTACTCAATTATTGTGGTTTCATTTCTTCACCTGACTGCATCCCATTGCTTCAGTATTTTAGCCATATTAATCAGAAGGAAGTAGTGCCTTGGACAAGA